TAAATTATATACACACAGAAAAAAACCTTAATCCTGCTCATTTGAATATTAAAGATGATGTTACTTTGACCTGTTTATTGTCAAAACATAGCGCCTTTTAATCAGGGATGGGTGACTAGGTCAACCTCTGATAACAGTCACAATATCAGGGTTCTTCCAGTCACGTGTGTTAAAAGTCGCATTCTCTAACATGATATTTGTTAGGTTTTTTGGGGGACAATGATGGTACAAAACATTAATTATTAAATCTAAAGCTGAGTGTGATAGGCTCACATATCTGTCATATATCATAAGTAGCCTTAGAAGGATTAGTGGATCAGTCAGGTTGTGAATTAACAGAAAGTTAATCAATAACAATTCTGATAATCGTTTATCAAAAGAAAATGAAAAACATTCACTGGCTTCAGCTTCTCAAATATGACGGCAAACCTGGCGGAAATTGTCCTAGGCACCGTTTCCAGACATTAAGATCAGCGTTTCCTTAACGGGCAAAACGGGTCCTAATTAAAATAGAAGAAAAGTGAATGTTCTTATATTATAATTAGGAAAGTAATTGTATGCATGTACTCACAGTAATGTATGTATGCATGTAACTGCTATTTTTCGCTACACTGTTCTGTTCTTCTCAGATACTGCTATGTGCAGGGCCCCATAGTGCATGGTAAACTTTTGGTGGCAAGGCAAAATCTGCACATGGCAACTGCACCGCCGCCACTGCGCAGTACTGTGAAAGTCCCATAAATTTGGGTCCCAGGGACACACCGAATTTCTCTTTTAGGTCTTGAGCTGAAAAGGTTTGGGACTTTCTAGATTAATGATGGATCCATTAATTGAAAAAGTATTCAACATATTAATTGATAATCAAAAAAATGCTTAGTTGCTGCTTAACAATCAAAGCAAACGCTCCCACACACAGTACCTTCATTGAAGCTTTATTTCTTATTAATGTTAATTAATTAACTGTTCTAGAAGCAGTATTATATAGAAATGTTACAATAATATAATAATAATGAACAATAGTATATAACTTTATTTGGAGCAGAAACTCATGTGTTTAAAATAATGTCAGCAGTGTGTGATTCTTTGTCTTCTCATGTGTGCTAATACCTGAATCAGTTGGTAGAGCATTTAAAAGGAGTAAATCCTCCCTCAGTACATAAAGTGAACAAAGATGCAACGGCAGTTGAAACCATGCATACAGTCACTGCCTTGCTCCAAACTTGCTTGTCGCCTTTATTATTGGCTTTCCAACCACAGAATCCAATAGGAGGGTAAAGGTCCCGCTTGAGTGTAGTTCGGTTTGTTGTATTACACAAGAGTCTTACGTTAATCAGATGTGCAGGTTAATCTCTGGGATCAGCAGGCAGCAATAACCTGCTGGACAGCAGCCTCAGACCTTTATGTCTACTTCTCTTTGTGGCTACTAATATGCAAGCTCTTTAAGAAAGAACACATGCTGCTGTCCATATTCTGTTTGTCATGGCCACAGCCTGTCTATAGTAGAGCATTACAGCTCTTTACATCAGCTAACAAACCAGTGATCCTGTTTCCTCTGTGGCCTGCCTGTGATCAGATACCTGCAGGAGACTTTTATCTGCTGTTCAAACATAAAAACACAAAGCTGGGCTGTCTGTGTACTCAGGGTCAGAAGAATCAAGAGCACTAATCGCCAGTGTTACATGTTTTTAGTTGCTACATAACAAAATGTGTATGTAGTGGAGTTAGCTTGTTCACTTGAAGTGACAAAGGGGGTAATGTTGAAATTGAAAATGGACTGTTAGTGATTGCTGGGCTGACTGCTTCTCTACCGACAAGGAACCAGCTAAATTGGTTCAGAACCGGACATTCTGGTTGATGATGCATCCAATTACAACGATTCTGCTCAAAACTGGTGGAAATACGGGCTGGTTTTCGTTAGAAAGCACCATGGTTCCAAGAATCAAATTTGCATATAAACAGCATATTATGTATTCACAGACTAAACAGTGCCATTAAGGTCTTCCTTGACATTTCCCCACTTACCCATGTCTACTTGTCATTACACATTACTTGGTGTGGCCAGTTTAACCTAAAAAAAAATATTTTCTTTCCACCTTTGTTTTGTTTTAAAAAAATGTAAAGCACTGAAGGGCAAAATTATTTACTGCCTTTTCCTGCTTTGTTATCTGATAAATCACAGTGACCTTTGAGATTTATCTGTCAATGCTCCAGACTGAGGTAGAAAGCACATTTTAAAAGAAACTGATGATGGAGGGTTAAAAAAAGGATAAAAATCACTGCAGCACAACCAGAGTTATTGTCGTTTTTTATTCCACACATTAAAGGTGTGTTATGTTAATAGTGGCTAATGCAGCCTGTAGCCTGCAGCAGAGATGACGATTCAGCTACAGAGGTCTGATAAGCTCTCTAATTTCTAACTCCACACTAACAGATTTAGCATTTTCAAACGTCTTCTTCAACATCGGTAGAGTTCCTCTCTACTGATGTTGGAGGAGAAAAAGCTAGTTGAAGCTCATAGCAAAATCTGTAGTAATTTGTATGTTATGTCTTACCTCAAGAACCTTCACATGGTTACTGGTTTAGTGCTTTGGTTCCATGTTTCATTATTTTGATATCACCCATTCAGTGTTCCCTGCCCCACAAATCTCTCCCCAGCTGTCCCTTTGCACAGCTAAAGTTGGAGGAGGAGGCATCTCCAAATCTAGATGTTCTCCACTGACCAGCAGCCATGAAAAAGAAATCTTTCCCACTAATATTTTGGATAGAAAATCTGCTAAGATTATTTTGTAAAGCTGCCATTTCCTCAGGACTTCCTATCAGGGTGAACAAACCTGACAGAAGAACGATTCATTTCATAGTTGATCACTCTTATTAAGTCTTGATTAATCAATTAGTTTGGTTCGTAAAATGTTGATCAGTGTTTCCCAAAGCCCAAGGTGATGTCCTCAAATGTCTTGTTTTGTCCACAACCCAAAGATATTCAGTTTGCTGAGAGGACTAAAGAAAGCAGAAAATATTCACATTGGAGAAGCTGAAATCAGAGAATCAAAAAATGTTTTTTAATTAATTGGCTAATCCTTACAGCCCTGGAGTTTTACACATTGCTCTCACCCATAACCGTGTATGCATGTTTTTTAGGCCTAGAAAGCAAAATGATCCAGTAATTCACTAGTCCTGTTTTGCCATCTGGTGAATCAATCAATCTTGCAATGCTTTGTGGGAGTCCCGACTGAAGTAGAAAGCTCACAATGGACAGTTCAGTTGAAGAAAAGGATCAAAATCGATGCAGCACAAAGCGGAGACATTATTTTTTTTCTGATCACCATTTCCCAAAGCCCAAGGTGACATCCTCAAATGTCTTGTTTTGTCCACAACCCAAAGATATTCAGTTTACTGTCAGAGAGGATTAAAGTAAGCAGAAAATATTCAGATTGGAGAAGCTGAATTTAGAGAATTTGAAAAAGATGTCTCAACTCGCAATGATTAATCGATTATCAAAATAGCAGCCGATCAGTTTAATTGTTGTCAACTAATCGATTCATCGAATATAGCTCTAGAAAGACACAAGTAGATCACAGCTGAGCAGTGAAACCGACACTAAAAAGACCCTCCATCATATGAGACACATCAGCATGTTGTATCTGGTCCTGATATGTTTGATCCCAGTCGAGCCCAGATACAGATCAGCAGCAGACCACATTCCTGCTGCAGCCAAGCTCTGCACGGCCAGGCTATTCTCTGTAACCATGGAGTCCAACCCATCTGCTTTCTGCGGCTGTTAGCGGGGGTTGGGGGAGGCGGTATGGAGGGCTTCTTGGTGTGTTTGTGTGATAAAGCCTCAGCAGCATGGACAGCAGAGAATGCGCTCCGACTTAACTCTTCCTCAGCGAGTTTGATGATGTGCATTATGTGGCCCGGAGGTAGATGGGGGATTAAGAGAAGACTTTTAACAGCTTTCTCAGATTACTGTCTTTACAGTTTGAGAGCACCTTCGTGATTAGTAAAGTAGCTTCACAAGGAAGGTCCTCAGTGAGATCCGTCTCTATTTGATCCTCACCTTGTCACATACTCTCCAATACATCCAAAATCATTTCAAATCAGCGTCGGCACATTTCTTTTTCTCTTAATATGTCATTCTTTCATGGTCAGCGAGCCATATGTCATAAACCTTCATCACGTCACGTGTAATTTCTGCTGTTATTTTTATGTACGTTTTTTCAGGACATCCTGTTCCACACGACTTCCTTTGCTGCCACTTCCCCGTAAATATCCCCTCACATGTGTTCCTAATTACCACCCTCCATTATTCCTGTCCTAACAACATTTTACAGTTTGAAATGATCAGCAAAAAAGCTTGTGCTCTTTTAGGAAACCAGGTGAAGGTTAATGATTGTGAGAGCACCAGGGTGGATTATCCAGTCAAGGAGAGGCTGGTATGGATCAGTCCTGGTGGATTTCAGCACTTGATCGGTTTGAAAATTAGCCACCAAGTTACAAGATTATAATTTTTAAGAGATGCTATAGGTGCTGGATGGATAGGTCCAATTGTATGTCACAGATTGATTGATGGAACGATTTTTCACAAACTGCAATATCTCAAAGGTTTTCCTAAGAAAAGGCCTCCCCATGCGATACTCCATTTGTTAAGATAGAAAGGAGAGACTGTAAACAAATCAGTCAGTGGTGTTAGCTTGCTGCCTCCTCTCATCAGAGCTGCTGAATAAAACATACTCAAGACGTCTCCGCTTCCCGTTCCACTGCCTGTTACACCTCCACTTTCACATAATGAGAGTTAGAGCTTAAGAATCCTTTGGATTAGCCAGTTGCCTGGCTAGTGCTTAAGCCCCAACCGCCCCCATGATCTCAATTAAAAACTTGTGCCTTCAGCAAGGTTTTTGCACCCACAGTTTTTTTTACAGTGTGGATGAATTAGTGTACAGAAGTGGGTGTAAATGGTTCTAAATGCCTCTCTTCACTTTGTTTTTTCCCTACCTCTGCAGATGATCCAGCTGACCAGCGTACTTGCCTTATCTGTGGAGATCGCGCCACAGGCCTGCACTATGGCATCATCTCCTGTGAGGGCTGCAAGGGCTTCTTCAAGCGCAGCATCTGCAACAAGCGCGTGTACCGCTGCAGCCGCGACAAGAACTGCGAGATGTCGCGCAAGCAGCGCAACCGCTGCCAATACTGCCGCCTGCTCAAGTGTCTGCAGATGGGGATGAACCGCAAAGGTAAAGTGTGGACACACAGGGACATCGCTTCCGCTTTCATTTTAAAGGTTTTCTGATTATGAGCCTCTACCCAAATGTTTGAGATGTCAATTTACAGTACACAACAATCTACATGAATTCTTCTCCATTACCATTTTTAAAAAAAGTTAGATTTATCATTTTATGGACAAAAGCAACATGTTAATCTCTGGAAATAAAACATTTATTTATAATATTAACATGAACATTTTTATTTTAACTAAAACATTTTTTTTAATCATTTAAATAATCGTTTTGAGTCATTTTTTAGAAAAAAAGTGTCCAAATTATCTGATTTCAGCTTCTCAAATGTGAATATTTTCAGCTTTCTGTAGTCCTCTTTGACAGGAAACTGAATATCTTTGGATTGTGGACAGAACAAGACATCTGAGGATGTTAGCTGGGACAGTGATTAAACTCCACTCACCATTTTCTGACATTTTATGGACCAAAGTACTAATCAATTCATCCAAAAAATTATTCTCAGATTAACTGACACTAAAAATAATCATTAGTTATATCCAATATGCACCAATAGGAAAACATTTTTTCCAGTATATATTGAAGAAAAAAAAAAATATTGGTGTCACTGCAGAGTTTATCCAGCAGAGTGTGCTGTGATTTACAATACTGTGGCACGCAACACAGTGCAGTTCTCAGCAATGTCAACCAGAATTGGTTGACATTGTATATATTTGATTATTTAACATGTTAAAGAATGTTTAACCTAAATATTATTTAATAAAATTATTTGTACCATCATATTGGTGCAAAATCGCTGCACTATCCACATAGGAAAGGTCATTCAAGATTCACGGTTCTTTTATTGTAATTTACAACACAAAGATGTAGAATGAAATTCAGATATAATTTTCTTTATGCTACTTTTAGAAACAAAATAATTGATTGAGTCCTAAAAAAAATACTATTTCATATGCTGAAATGTTGAGAAAGAAAGATTTTCACTCCTAAAATCAGCATCTGCCTTAAAAATCTCTTCAGTCTCCACGCTGCTGATGAACGTTGAAATACATCAGTTCTGCCAATAAACCACAGTTTACTGACACAATTAAAGTTCAGTGTTAAGTAAGCAGACTGTAGCTGTAGTTTGTCCTCATGCAGGGACTCTTCCAAAAGTGCACGCTGCCCCCTTGTGGTTAGAAACTGTAAGTGACCCTTCAATGCTCCAGGCCTCATTTTATATGATTTATCCTCCAAATACTTTGATTAAAGCGAGCTTGTCATGACACGTGAAATACATTTGCTTAACTCCCAGTTTTTAACAAACCATTCCTAGACTACAGGAGAAAAACCTGTCTGCCTGCCAACAGAAACAGGAAGAGAAACCACATGGAAATGAATGATGGGAAACAAAAGCACTATGCGATTTGTTTCAGCCACTAGATAGAGCTGCCATACTGACTATGGATCATGTCCTGTTAATAGAGAACATGCAGATTTAGATTTCTAATCCTTCTTTTTTGTTCATGCAGCAATCAGGGAGGATGGCATGCCAGGAGGAAGGAACAAAAGCATCGGGCCTGTTCAGGTAAATCACTGACTTCATGTTCAATAATCACCAGAAATGTTGTTTTTGTGACATTCACTGACCCTCTCCAGGCTCAGAGTCACTCTATACATATTATTCTGGCTCAGTACCAGAGTTAACTCGCTCACTGTGAATGCATTCAGAGCACAAACCATTCACTTAAATAACACTGAGTTGGAGTGCTGTAATGCTAATGATTTAGGCGTAGGGATACTTGTGAAGCATTTAATGACTGAGCCCTGACCTTGTTGTATCATCAGTATAATCATGTAGCTGATGATTATTCCCCATTCAGTGCTGGCTTCATTATTAACACTGGCCGAGAACAATTGGTCAGGAAAATGTGTGACATGAGGCTAAGTAGGCCTACCACAGAGCAGGGGAGGGATGTGGTCGATTCATTCCAGCTCAATTCAGCAAGTAAAAAAAAAAAACATAACCGCCCGCTTCCATTAAAAGACGGCTTTATTTCTAAGCCCTAATGAAAGAGGGACCTCTCTGTCATTAATATGGAATGAATTGCTGTTTTAGTGTATGTGCTAAATTGAAAGAAATGAAAGTGAATTGACCCCCAGCCACAGATACAAGACACCACATTTTCTGGCATGCCAATGCCTTTCAAAAATGGTTTTTGTCTGTCTCCCTGTACGGACCTGCAAGGATTCTATTATTTTAGGTGTCTGTGTATATCAGCCAATCAAATAGGCACACACAGACACATACCTGTTTGCCTCCTTTCTTTCTTTCTCTAACTCCATGTTTCATTGTGCAGCTGTGTCCTTGCTCCTCAGCGTTTCAGTGAAAAGCAGTGTGGTGCTAGTCAGGGCTAATCAATTGAACTGAGACACACAGTGCTTTTGGTCACATGAGGATGTGCTGTGAGCTAAAAAAAAATAGAAACCCTCTTTGTGCACTTGCATTTGTGTTTTAGATCACAGAGGAGGAGATAGAGCGGATTATGTCGGGGCAGGAGTTCAAGGAGGACGCCCCGGAGCACACCTGGGGCAACAACGGCGACAGCGACCACAGCTCTCCCAGCAACGGAGCCTCGGAGGGCAACCAGCCGTCACCCGCCTCCACTCTGTCATCCAAGTGAGTTGTTCATCTCATCTACTCCACCGTGCAGCGCCTGCACTCGCCCCACCATTGAGATAATGAGCTGGCCCTGACAGTCTAACACCTCGTTCCCATCTCACCCAGACTTTAGTTAAGGTATTCACCAGCTGAAGAATGCCTGAATATGCAGCTCCTCAGGCTTGGTGATGATAGCAAACACAAAGAACTCGCTGCACTATCTGCTGTTCTTGCTATGGAGAGGAGTGCATTGTCTATCTACACTCATCAAGGACAAATATTGTCTAGGTGCTTGCATGACGGTATTTATCTAGTCTCATGTTGTACAAACCTTAAGTTTATCTCCGCAGCAACACAGCCTAATAGCTATTCAGAGGAATACTTGTCTTATCAAATTAAATCTGAGCAGAAATGAACAACAATAACAGAATGCCTCTGTAGCGTAGGCTTTGGTATGCAGGTACAAAATGAAGTTTTGTCTACAAGTTTGTGAAAGAATTACAAATATTTGTAGCAGAAAAGAGAATGGACGTCCAACACGCTTCCTTAGATAAAGGTTAAAGGTTATAAACTAATATTCCACCACTGTGTGTAACCTTTAACCTTTTTGTGCTTCCAGTCGCTCTGTGGAAATGAACGGCTACACGGCAGCCCTCAGGGACCAGTACATAAACACCTCCATGTCCACACACTACCAGCTCCTGCCTCACCTGTTTAGCTACGCTGCCCAGTCTGGCCTGCTGGCCCCCCAGCCCCGCAGCATCTACCCGCAGTCCCACCCACTGGTGCTGCAGCTGGTGGCTGCTGAAGACCTGGCCCCCCTGGCAACCCCTATGCTCATAGAAGATGGGTGAGTGAATGCATGCATAAGATTCTACATACATTTACCCACTGTGCAAAATAGACCACGTACTCCCCGACTAGGAAGCTTTAGGTTGTCATTTCATCGTGTTATTAGTGACTCAAAGACAATACCACCCCACTGAAAACAAACTGTAACAAAATAACTTGAAACAACTTGAGATTTTCAACAGATATCAACAGTGCATTCTTCATATCACTTGGATGTTTGAGAGTTTATTGTAAATAAAACTGGTCTGCTAATTTCACTTACAGAAATGCTTTAAAACACTCACTATTCTATTTCTTTATTACTCGATAAATTCTGCTAAATGTTTTCAATGAATGATCAACAAAAGGCATTTGAATTCTGCCTGTCTGCCAGTATTTTGTCTCTGTCAGTGACTCAGCCCACGTCAAATTTTAAAAAAATATCTGAAGGCTATGCAGACTGCAGACAGGGCTCCATCTAAATCTTTGCAAGTGTCAAAAATATTTTCCTTACACGTTTATGATATGCAACCAGTTCATCATGTGACAGCACAAG